CCATGGTCACTTCACGACATGGAAACTTCCCGACTTTCATACAGAAGGCAAAGAATGAAAACGCAATCAACAAATATCCATAACAACCGATTCATCCACATTACTTAAAATAACATTTTTTTTTATTCTCAAGAACACATACAACTCTTGTGAATTCGAGGCCCTTAGTTGCAAAATGAACAATATATATATATATATGTATTATATATCGCGTAGAGATTATCTTAATTCGAAAGCTACAGATTAGAGAATATTTCCATTTCCCCTTATCGATCGATTCAATCCCAACAATTTCAACTCATTTTATCAATAATTCAATAACTTCAATAATCCACTCATAAAAAAAAATTTAAAAAAAATCACACACATAGTTTTCGATTTCTGCATTTTTATCCTAAAAAACTACAGCATCATCAAACTCACCGAGAAACTATTAGCGATCGGGACAAGTACGTGGCAATGTACCATGGAACAGCTAACAGCAAGCCCCCAAATTAACGGAAAAGTGAGAAGTCAGCCGTACTCCGGCCGCCGCCATTTGCACCGGCATCAACGACTGAGCGCCACCCAATTCACCCATGTTCCTGTATATTGAAAACCTAATAAGCATAATTTCAGACCATAACCGAGTAAAATGCAATAATTCTTCGTAAATAATTCTGTGAAAGCGTGTATAGTTGAAAATTTAGGACCTAGGGTTAGAGAAAGTGAGGCGGCGGCGGGGGGGCGGGAGCGGAGGATGGAGGCGTCGGGCGGCGGATATCGACGGCGACGAGCGGAATGCGGTGTTGGAATTTTCATGATTTCCAATAATTAATATTGAGTAATATTAATTAAATTATGTAAAGATTAATTTCATTTATTTACTTGATCATAATCATGAAGTAAAGTGAATGAAAATTGTCTTGACTAAATGGTTAAAGTTCAAAAGATGTGCGCTCGATGTGATCGAGTTATATGACTAGTTTGGGTTTAGGTGTCTACAAATATTACTTTTGGGGACATTTAGTAATTAGTCAAATTATTTGACCCAAAATCCAAAATAATAAAATATTTGGCTCAAACAAAATATTTAATTAATTGGCCCATGACCAATTAATTTTCCTACGTTTTTTAACTCGTAAAAAGAACAGACACATCCTTCTGCTTCTTTTCCAACCATTGCAAACCCTCTGTGAATGGATCTCTACAACCTATAAATAAAGGCAGAATCTGGCCAATTCTGTACAAAATTTAATCGGCAATTGAGAGATAGTTCTTCATATTTTCTTTTTCTTCGTCAAAGTTCCGTTCGTTGCTCAAGTTCGCCGTGGGTCGAATAATCGTGCAAATATTTGACAACCGATCGTTGTACCTTGGGAGACTACCGGGAAGAGACTGTGCACCGTTGACAGCCCGAAAATATTGTCTTAAGGGAATTGCTTTGGCAAGCCTCGATCGTTCTTTGTGGTTTTCACAATTCCTCTTTTCGACAAACAAATAAGTATTTTTCTTTTACGTAGATTGTTATATATATATATATATACCAACATGCGGAAGAGGTAGCGGTGGAAATGAGGGATGTAGAAAGCGAACCTCGCCACGCCATTGTTGTTGCGCTGTGTGTACTGTAAATTGGGGGAAATTCGCAGTGTTTTCAAATTTCTACCTTTCTTTCCCCTTTGGTTTGTAAATAAATGGTTTAAGGGGTAATATTTGTTTTTATAATATTTGAAAATACAAATATGCATGTATTATGAATTTCAAGTAAAATATGCAAATATATTTATAATTTTCTTACTATGATCAGCTTAATTAGTAAAATAAATAATTTTCGTGGACTGATGTGGTGTGATTCCAGATCACCTCACATTTCATCCCTGCCCTTCTTGATTCTTCACTTGGGCACTACGTGCATCACAAAATGTCGTTAGGAAACTTAGAATATTGGAGTTTGGTCCGTGCGTCAAATCCTCGGATACTCAAGTCAATTTCGAGAATTATGAATTTTGTATCTTTAATTGTGAGATTCTCGAGTATTTTTTCTCGAGAAATATATACTTATGAGCATATAAGCGAACTGGGATCCGAATATTAGATTGTGGTCAACCTAAGTTTTAGACGACTTAAACTTGGTTTGTGTGCCTTTATGGGCTTGTTGATTAGGCCTTTGGACTTAGATGCATCAATTTATTTGCCTTTATGGGGTTGCTGATATATGTTTCTAGGCTTTGGTCCATTACACATTTAATGTAGGATAGATAATTTTGATGTAATTAAAATAAATATAATATTACTTCAAATTTAAAATGAAATAATAAAACACTAACATTCTCGAAAATGTTACAAATAAAAAAAAATGAAAATGCTTAATATATTTCGAAAAATGACTCAAAAAGGAAGATCAAAAGGGGTTACATATAACATCTACATATCTAACATATATAAAGAGTAATTTGCATTTAGTATACCTTATTATTATATCGACTTGCTAAAAGAATACCGTTGTATTAAAAAATCCCTCTCGTAATGCATCTTTAGCACAAAATCACCTAAAGTATGAGTTTTTAGTAGGGGTGAAAATCGGAATGTAATTTTCGATTTTCACAGATTTTGACCCGAAATTTCTAATTTTGGAATAACATTTTTCAATCTAGATTCCGAAATTCCGACTTTTTCGAAATTATATTTAGGTCGGAATTGGAATATACATGAGATTCCGATTTCCGATCCAATTTAAGTTCCAAAAATAATCCCGAAAACTCCGATTTTTTTCCAAATATAATTATGTATTTCATATTTAAGGTGACCAAAAAATTGGAAATTTTCGAATTTCACCAATATGGATCCGAAATTTCCCGATTTTGAAACAATTTTTTAGGTTCCAATTTCCGAAATTCTGATTCGCGATTTTTTCCGATATTTTTGGAATGGAATTGGAACTAGTTTTTCACCTGATTTCGATCTGATCCGTCCGATTTACGCACCTAGTTTTTAGAAAGTAGTATGCCAAATAAAATGACAGTATCCAAGGTTTTATTTGACAAAATTAATACAAGAGAGCTTTTTTAACAATTGAAGTAAATACAGGGGTGCTAAATGCAATAAATGAAACCCATACAATTAAGAAATATTAAATACGAGAATATTAATAGAGGATCATAAAAACTGTCAAAACTGTGGTCAAATGTTTATTGCTTTGGAAGTTGGAGAGAAGAAGAACGAGCAACGAAGTGTGTGCGCGCGCGTGTGCGCGTTGAGAAATAGACATCGGGGCATGAACCGAAAGATGTTTGCTAATTCAATGGGATTTTATTGCTAATAAAACTAATAATTAAAACAAAATCTATTAGTTAATTAATTAATTACTGATTAATGATGATCTCTGACTGTTCTTCACTTCTTACGCTTCCTATCATGCTTTTCCACACGTGTCCCTTCGATTTTTTTTTTTTTTTTCTTATTTCTTATATCAATTTCTTTTTTTTTTCTTTTATGTGGAATCCAAAAATAATAGGATTAATTATCAATTGCACCCATGTACCATTATTGGTGTTGCATATACCCTGTGTACAATAAAATGCGACAAAATGGCCCATCACATTGAACTAGTTAAACTTTTATAAATTAATGTCGGGACTATGAAAATTCTATTAATTTAGCAAATTATTAAATTATTGAGTTAATAATTTAACATGTTTTCATCGACCGTGACCGAGATAAACTATTATTTAATCGAGATTATTAATTTATCGAGGTTCTACTGTATATTAAAGAATTCGTTCATTTTTTAAGTTGGTTGACTATTGCACTAGATGTTGGACAATTTCAGACGAAAATACCCTATGAATGTACATAAAAAGTGTGTCTATTTCTTTATATCTTGTACTCAATTTACTTTCTATTTTTCCATGTTTCTTCACTGATTTCAATTTCCACAACCTAAACATTCCGCCAAATTTTTAGAAAATTAAAATATATTCTAAAAATTATTTATATATTTTTTTTTTATTTTATGAAATTTTGCAATTATATTTCCAACCTAAAAATATCATACATAATTTATGAGTTTCTTTTATTTTGGTTAATATTTTTAAATTCTTTTTAGATTTTGAAGAAAAATAAAA